TTTTTCTATATGACTACATTAAGGGTTTAATTAAACAATTTAATTGAAAATTTATTGTATAATGCTTTGGGATTTTTAAAGATAAGATGTACAAAATATGTTTTAAAAGCACACAAATAAATGTTCTAGGTATAAGTAAATCGACTGGAATGGCGTTCTTGAAATAAAATTTGTGCGTGTGTACTACTCAAGCCATGAAATATTAAGAAATGGGATGGTACTGATCAGTGGTGGGATTCAAAATATTTTACTACTGGTTCTGTGGGCGTGGCTTGTTGGGCGTGGCAGAGGAAGGATACTTTAAATCTCTATTCCCTCCCTACTCCAAGGAAAGGATACTGTAAAACCTCCATTGCCTCCCCACTCCAGGGGAAGGTTACTGCAAAATCCCCATTTCCTCCCGATCAGCTGGGACTCGGGAGGGAGGCAGAGAATAGATGGGGGTGGGGCCAGTCAGAGGTGGTATTTACCGGTTCTCTGAACTACTCAAAATTTCTGCTACCGGTTCTCCAGAACTCATCAGAACCTGCTGAAACCCACCTCTGATATGGAGGGGAGATAATGAACCATACATGCTTGAGAGAAAAAAAGGACGAGTACAAAAAATGGAAAAATGGAAAGAGGGGATACATAACTGAAGTTAGGCTTTGAATGAAGTAAAACTAAAAACCATAAAAAAAGTTTCTTTCAACACATAAAAAACAAGAAAAAAGTCAAAGAAAAATTGGTCCACTAATGGGAGAAGACGGCAAATCAGTAATGGATAGTAGCAGGACTGCTTAATTCATTTGTCGCATCTATCTTCATGCAAAAAGAAAACAGTACTCAACTTACTAAAAACAGAACCATAAATGATCGGATAGGAATGCAAATTAAAATATGTGAAAAATAAAGTAACAGAACCATTGAAACATATCTTTCAAAGTTCTTAGATCTAGTTCTGAGGACTGGAAAAGAGTTGATGTGGTCCCCACCCTCGAAAAAGGAAGAAAACAGATCCAAGAAATTACAGACCAATCAGCCTGACCAATCATCAATACCTGGGAAGTTCTTGGAAAAGTTAATCAATCAACAAATCTATGAACACCTAAAAGCAAACAACATTATAAGAGTAGCCAGCATTGGTTTGTCAAAAAGAGATCATGTCAAACAAATCATATTTCATTCTTCAATAAAGTGACTAATTTAACAGATCAGTGAAATCCTGTGGACATAGCATACTTAGATTTCAGTAAAGCATTTGATAAAGTAGACCACAATCTACTTCTTGGCAAGTTAGTAAAATGTGGGATAAACACACCACCACTAGGTGGGTTTGTAACTGGCTAACAAAATCATACTCAGTTTGTAATCCTGAATGGAACTACATTCACATGGACGGAAATAAGATGGCAGGAATAGCCAACATCCCAGAAGACAAGATCAAGATCCAAAAAGATCTAGGCAAACTTGAACACTGGGCCCTATCTAACAAAATGAGATTGAACGTCGATAAAAGTAAGGTTCTACACTTAGGCAAAAAGCCAACTGTATAGATATGGACTGGGTGAAATGTGGCTAATGCCTGTAATTGTGAGAGGGATCTTGGAGTCCTAGTGAACTATCCCTTAAATATAAGCCAACTGTGTGCCGCAGCAGCCAAAAAAGCCAATATGATCCTAGGCTGCATTAATAGAGGGATAGAATCAAGATCACATGAAGTTCTAGTATCATTTCACAATGTCTTAGTAAGACCACACTTGGAATACTGCATCCAATTCTGATCACGACAATACAAAAAAGATGTTGAGACTCTGGAAAGAGTACAGAGAAGAGCAACAAAATTGATTAGGGGGCTAGAGGCTAAAATGTACGAAGAATGGTTACAGGAATTGAGTATGTCTAGTCTAATGAAAAGAAGGACTAGGGGAGACATGATAGCAGTGTTCCAATATTTGAGTGGGTCAAGCTATTTTCCAAAGTACCAAAAGGCAAGACAAGACACAATGGTTGGAAACTAAGCAAGGAGAGACGCAAACTAGAACTAAGAAGAAATTTCCTAACAGTGAGAGCAATCAACCTATGGAATAGCTTGCCTTCAGAAGTTGTGGACACTATCACTGGAGGCTTTCAAAAGAGACTGGATAACCATTTGTCTGAAATGGTATAGAGCCTCCTGCTCAAGCAGGGGGTTGGAATAGAAGACCTCCAAGGTGCCTTCCAACTCTATTATTCTATGTTCTCTTTCTGAAGATAAATTGCTCCTATCAGCCGTAGTCTATTCAGTTTCATTTATAAGACTGCCAGGAGAAAAAAAAACTCAAAAATGCATCCTTGCAGAACTTGTCACCCTCATAATCTCACTAACAGCTCCCTCTGTGTTTTTCATATGCTTTCTAAGATAGACTTTCAAATATTTTCAAGCCGCAGAATCTGTTTGTTTAAAAGAAAGAAAAAATAGATCCTGATCAAGATGCAACCTTTTAAGGATAGAAGCTTGGCTGCATCTCTGTACTTTTTGTGCCCAGAACTCCACTGAGTTCTCATTGAAGTGAAGGGCTCCACAGAGTGTTGTTTGAAAACCCCATTCTCAGCAACCCAGAGACTGAGTTTGCACAGTCTGCTGGACTAGGGAAGCCCTTGGATTAACAGGTTATATCAGGCCATTGGGTTTAGCTGAATAGACTTATTTGTTTGGACACAACATGTTATGTGGACACAAGAGTCAAGTTTTATTAACTTGGATTTAGGGTATTTCAGGGTGGATTTGATTTAAATTCAGTTGATTTAAATCACAATTTAAATCATGATTTAAAACACTAGTAAAAAGGCTTGATTTAAATCAACTCGATTTAAATCATAATTTTTAAAGAGCAACTGTCATCTCTGCTACTCCTTTGATTCACTGTTGACTCACCGATAGTCCCAGTGTTGCAGAATATACAGCCTCATGCTACATAACTAAGCTCCATTTCATGCTGAATAAACTAAATTATTTATGTATCTTAAATAGAAAACTATTTTACGATAGATTTTTACCCCAAAAGTTTTTTATTAAAATAAATTCAATAAAAATAAAAAACATCCGATTTAAATAAAAAAAATCAGATTTAAATCAAAAAAATCTGATTTTTTTTTAAAAAAAATTAAAAAATCATTGATTTTTATCCACCCTGGGGTATTTTATGTAATGTGAATTAAACAGTGGTGGGCTGCTGCCAGTTGTAACAACTGGTTCACCCAGCACCGAAAATGCGAGCAGGGGCACACGCTCGCTTTGCTCATGCGCGCACCTTCCGTGCATGCACACAGCTTCAAAAACACAGCGATATAGGACAGAATAGACCCAGGGCGGGTGGGCAGGCCCATTCGTGAGTCGCAACTACCAGTTCACCCGAACTGGTCCAAACCAGCAGCAGCCCACCTCTGAAATTGAACCAGGGAATATCAAAGACATGCATAAATAAGAATAGAGCTGCATTGGGAGTAGAATAGAATGGAGGCTACCGAAATAATGGGGCCAACTAGAATCCTACTAAATGTCTCTTTTAAAGATTGGACTCTTTTTCACTTACATCCTTTGCTGCTACCAAGGTTTTGGTCTTCTACGATTACAGGTAGTCCTCAACTTACAACCATTTGTTAAGTGAGCCCTCAAAATGACAACAACACTGAAAAAAGTGTCTTATGACCACTTTTCACGATAGTTGCAGCATCCCTGTGGTCACGTGATCAAAATCCAGATGTTTGATAACTGGCATGTATTTATGATGGCTACAGTGTCCTGGGCTCATGTCATCCCCTTTTGAGACCTTCTGACAAGCAAAGACAATGAGGAAGTCAGATTTGCTTAACAATCGTGTGATTCACTTAACAACTGCAGTGATTCACTTAACAACCATGGCAAGAAAGGTCATAAAATGGGCCAAAATCCACTTCACAAATGTCTTGCTTAGCAATGGAAATTGTGGCTCAATTGTGGCCATAAGTCCAGGACCTGTAGTTCCAGCAGAAATAAAATTGCTTTGATACAGCATTTATCCACATGTTCGATCATCTTGCCATGATCAATTACTACCAACCTGCCTTCCATTGAAGACCTGTATACTGCACGAGTCAAAAAGAGGGCTATAAAAATATCTACAGACCCCTCACATCCTGGACATAAATTGTTTCAACTTCTACCCTCAAAATGACGCTATAGGGCACTGCATACCAGAACAACTGGACACAAGGACAGTTTTTTCCCAAACACCATCACTCTGCTAAACAAATAATTCCCTCAACACTGTCAAACTATTCACTAAGTCTGCACTACTATTAATCTTCTCATCGTTCCTATCATCCATCTCCTTCCACTTATGACTGTATGACTGTAACCTTGTTGCTGGTATCCTTACGATTTATATTGACTGTTTCCTATTATGATTTGATTGCTTATTTGTACCCTATGACTATCATTAAGTGTTGTACCTTATGATTCTTGACGAACGTATCTTTTCTTTTATGTACGCTGAGAGCATATGCACCAAGACAAATTCCTTGTGTGTCCAATCACACTTGGCCAATAAAGAATTCTATTCTATTCTATTCTATTCTATTCTATTCTATTCTATTCTATTCTATTCTATTCTTACAGGTGAACTCTGCCTGTTCTATTCAGTGAGACTTGCTTTCAAAAACGTTTTCTGGATTATGATACTCAAATGCTTCCCTACTTTATTTTAAATAGTTTCTCAGCTTATTAGGTTTCCAACCAGGAGTGGTATTCACTTACTTTCCCTACTGGTTTGCAAATGTGTGCACAACCCAAGGCCTTCCGCACATGCGCAGAGCCTTGAAAACGTGAAAAATGGGACGTCATGACGTCCGCGCGGGTGGGCGGAGCATCCCGCAGTCGCCCCTACCGGGTTGCCCGATCCGGATAGAACCGGCTGAATACCACCATTGGTGCCAACTACGTTCCCCAAAAGGAGTGAAGTGAAGTGAACCAATAAAGGAGAAAAAAAACTTTCCCCTACCTTCGTCACGTTTCCTCTTCTCACCATTTGATCGAGGAATCCCCAGAATCCCATTAATGGAGTAGGAGCCCACTGGATCATTGGAGGCACTGGAGACAGGAGGGGAAGCTGTACTGGGAACTGGATGAAATGAGAAAGGAAAAGGGCTCAGAAGAGCAGGAGCCAGCAGCTAGGAAGTGACATATATCTCCCCCACAACCTCATTTGAAGACCTTTGCCAAGAGACCCAGGTCCAGTTAAGCCAAGATCCAAAAATATCTGCTTAAGAGTGTCACCGATTGTGAATCACTTTCAAAAAAAATGTCTCTGTGCCTTACATTTCCTATCTTAATAACGTATTTTTCGGACTATAAGATGAACCGGAGTATAAGATGCACCAAGATTTCAAAGAGGTAAACAAGGGGGAAAAAAGTTTTTCCCTCCCCAGTCCCCAGGAGCACTCCGCAGGCCTCCCAAACCCTCTGCGCATCCGATTTTTGCAAAAAAAGGCCTGTTTTTGGTGAAAACGGGATGCGCAGGGTGGGATTTCAGGAGGCCAAAAATGGCTGCATTTAGTGTATAAGACGCACCAACATTTCCACGTGATAAGTTTATCACTTATTGGAAGATGGTGACAGAATTCTTCCAGAGGATCTTTAGTTTGGCTTAATCAGGACAATGACATTATATGATCGTTTTTAGATATTGTGCTAGGTATTTTAATATATATCTATGCATATTATTTATTATTACTATTTATTTCATATATTGTATAGATAAATATATATTATATGTATATATTAAATGCCCTTTACTGTATACAGTAGTAGCCAAAATTTTGGAACCCTTTTGAGAAAAGTGTATTTTCTAAAACTAGCTAATAATACCACTTTTTGGGGGGAAGTATACCATAAAATTATATATCAATGGAAAGATAATTTAATCAAGAATATAATGCAATAACTTTTAGGAAGGATTTGCTATTAGAATAGCAGTTACAGTATAAAGAAGAAAAGTGAAACACATAGAAAAAAATAAGATATGCAAAAATTATCACCATAGAAAAAACGAGATATGCAAAAATTATCACCATGTCAGTTAATACTTAGCAATGGATAGAAATTTGTCAGAGGGAAAACTGGAACTAAGGAGGAATTTCCTGACAGTGAGAATAATTAATCAATGGAACAGCTAGCCTCCCAGGAGTTGTGAATGATCCTTTGCTAGAGGTTTTCAAGAAAAGACTGGACAACCATTTGTCCAGGATGGTCTAAGGACACCTGCCTTGGGCGGAGGGTTGAACTGAAAGACCTCCAAGATCTCTTCCAACCCTATGATTCTGTGATAATGGACCTAGTATTCCAAGAACAGCCTGAAGAAGACAGAATCAGGGACAATTATTTCCCAGGATTTGGACTATACGTCTAATGAATATATTCCACAGTAGCCAGTGGTGGGTTGCTACTGGTTCGCCCCAGATCGGGCGAACTGGTAGCGGCGGCGGCAGGAGGTTCCGCCCACCCACCCGGATGCTTCTGTGCATGCGCAGAAGCATTGCGCGAGCGCGCGTGTGCCCACAAGCGAACCGATAGTGACAGGTTTTGAAACCTGCCCTGACAGTAGCATTTGCCGTGTGAACATATCAACACTTGTGAACCACTAAGGTACCTAGATCTTTTTCAGATATACTGTACATATCTTCTCTGACAGGAGGAAGAAACTGTCAGATTTTGAACATAATTTTGAAATGCAACTTTGGGGCGGGGGGAACCCTGGTCTTTCTTGCCTGAACTAACTTTTAGGCACAAGTTAGTTAATTTCTGAGAGGTTTAAAACAAGTTGAAGTTGGTTATTATTTTAGTTTTAAATGGAGTGAACATTTGAGCATATTCCCTTTATGTTCTCCCTGACTATCCCCCCCCCACTTGTGCAATATTGGGCAATACTTATAGTTACTTATGCACATTGTGACCTCCCCTATGTCCTACTACACACTTACTAAGATCGCCAATACTATAATAATAAAATGGAATATCACAGCCTAGGAAATTAGTGAACTATAAATGCCTAGACAGCAAATAGAATATGTAAATTAAAACATATAGATCAAGATACGTGCATAAATGCAACAAGATTATAAATTACCATTTCAATTCCTACAGCAATGACTGTCCAATCCAGATTACAGCAAATGAAATCCCATTAATCCCATGGCAATTGCAATAGAGCAGAACCTAACAACTTTCTTAGAAGTTTCTGCAGAAACCTTCCCTAATAGGAACTACACAATCTCGATTCAGTCCAGCCATTGCATCTAGCAAAGAGAGATGCATCCTATTTTGTTGGCCATTAATAATGAATGTAACAATATTATAATGAAAGGATCAGTATCTTGGGTAAATCCAGACAGGACTTGTGCTGATAAGAGTGGTCAGTAGAATAGGATGGGGACGATTGTTCTGATATGCATCTATGTAGAAGCAGTGGCACTCTAAACTAGGAATAGTACCGAGGGTCCTCTTTATGAGGTCCAAAATAGATAATTGAACTTAGATAATGTACAAACATTTCTGCTTGAGGGGGCAGAATATTTTAAAAATCTGGTTTGGAATAAGGAAGAAAATGTGATAAAAGTTCCATGAAACTTAAGCTTTGTCAGACAAGGTCAAGGAGTTGTTATTTTGCCTCAAAACCAGTGCTGGTATTCAGCCGGTTCGGGCAAATCGATAATGGTGATCTGCTGGTGCGCTCGGCCACCCGCCCCAGCGATATGCCGTCCTATTTAGCCACGTTTTCTAAGCTGCGCACATGCATGCATGCAAGCCACACAGGTGAGCAAAGTGTATGCACGGAAGGCGTGCACTCACATTTTCAGTGCACAGCGAACCAGTGGTAAAATTATGTGAAACCCACCTCTGCTCAAAACTATCTTTCTCCTGTACCCTTCTTGTTAGCTAACAATCTGTCCTTAACTTTGTCATAGGTCATCCTTGTTTAAAAAGGTGTAGGAAATGGTAGGGGTTTAGCAAATGTTTTGAAGCAACTTCATTGCAGTATAACTGTGTTATCAGCAAGAATTTTTAACTGTTTTCTCTAGCATTGTGTCAGATCAGCCAATTTCAGCTTAATATAACAGGATCGTGAGAAATATTACCATTATCTAAATTTAGCTAAATGATTTGAAAGCTTTAAATGGTTTGTCATTTAGTTTATTATCTATAAAGAGGTGACATTTCCCTTTCTGTAAAAGAAAATTAGCAAACAAAGGTAGTAGTATTAATCCATAAAAGAGTTTTTTTAAAAAATATATATATATTTTTTAAAAGTCAAGTTGAGAATTAGAACAATTTACTTTTAAAACAAAATGACAATTACAATTGTTATAAAAATACTAAAAGTATTAGTGGCTATCAATATTGTAAAGAGCCAGATTAAAATCTTTCATATGATTAAAACAGTGTTTGCACACACAGTTTTCAGTTCTTTGAGATACAAAAGTTGCAAACTCCCCATTTTAGGAGGAAAATGATGCGCAAAAAATCAATTTTAAAAGTGTTAAAAGGTGGGGGGGTGGGAGAATGCAACCCAAACACTGCCAAGAGACAATTTTTTAGGCCAAATGATATAAAGGAAGTCTTTTAAGTCTTTCCATTTACTTTTCATCAAAGGACTGCCAGGAAAAAAAATTAGCCACATCCATTACAATTTCTTAGATGACCATCTCTAAATTGAGCGACTGACCTACTGGCTTCTACAGTGGTAGCTAAACTTACGATAAATGTGCGATAACTTTTTTCTGTCAGTTTCCTGGTGAAGACCTAATTGCTTAAAATCTATTGGGATTTATATATCACTTCCTTGAGGTAATAATTTTGTTTCTATAACCTGTTACGTTTCTGTTTGCATGGTGCTGTTTCCTTTCAATGCAGTCAACACAGATCTATGTCTTACAAAAATAACAGTTGATAGATGTCCTGCAGTAATAGATTGTGCTATTCGTGTTAAAAAGATTATTCTTCAAAGCCAGAATTTTCACAATTTTAACTTCTACAGAATGATAGAAGGAAAGGATTCAGGAACTAAAGTAGGCCTTTGCTATAAAGAGAGGTGCTGCCTAGATTATAGTATATTTATCTGGCCCAGCTTCAGAAAATATTTCTGATCTTGATCTGTAGACTTGGAGCAAGCCAATAAGATCTTCAAATTCAATCTGCTTCTCTGTGCAGGAATCTACATTAAAGCATTTCAGAACAAGGGCTGTTTAGCCTTTACTTCAGTGGTGGAATTTAACTGGTTCACACCACTTCAGCCGAACCGGTTGTTAAATTGCTGGCCGGCCCTGCCCCTCCCCGCCCTGCCCCTTCCAGAAGTTCCCACGAGCCCCGTTTTGGCTCCAGGTAAGTGCAAGGAGGCCTACTAGGCCCAAAACAGGGTGCGGGGGATGCGGTGGGGGGTCCTTGTGGCCCATATTTGCTCCCAGGAGGCTGCAGGGAGGCCTACTAAGCCCAAAACGGGGGGCAGGGGTGGCGTGCCCCCCCACAGCCCATTTTTGCTCCCAGGGGGGTGCAGGAAGCCGAGTGTTGCCTATCACACGCCCTGGCCATGCCCACCATGGCCACGCCCACCCAGCCGATCATCAGGGCAAAGAACCAGTTGTTAAATTATTTGAATCCCACCATTGCTTTATTTCTATATAATCTAGCTTTCCCCTCTTGAACTGCAGGTATGGAAAGGAACTTTTTTCTTGTGGTAGAGCCATGTTAGTCTATGGTGGCAAAAGAAATCTGGTAGCACTTTTTTCAAGCAACACTGAAAAATAGTTGGAGAAGGTGCTACCAGAATTTGTTTTTCAATAACATGAATCCGTCTTAGCCTTTTGATATCCTTTACAGTATTTAAAGAGTGTCATCAGAGCTAAGTATTTCTGGTTTCCTCAATTTTTCTTCTAGACTAGTTCCTGTTCAGTGGTGGGTTGTTCCCAGTTCGGTCCGGTTATTGCGAACCGGTAGTAATGGCGGTGGGAGGCTCCGCCCACCTGCCCAGATGTCATCATGAATGATCTGCACATGCGCAGAAGTGTACGCATGCACGAGCGAAGCCAGCATGCGCATGTGTGCTTCCGTTGCGAACCGGTAGCCGAGGTAAATAGAACCCACGCCTGTTCCTGTTCATCTGTCTTGTCCATCTGAATTCCATTTTCTTTATTTCTTCACAGTGTGGTGTCCAGGATTTAATACAAAAACCAGATGCAGTGTGAGCCAATACACAATGAAGTAGAAAAATAACTTCCTGTGTTTTAGGAAATATATATTTTGTTGATATAAAACTGTATTTGCATTTTTTTTTCATATTGCGCTGTTGAGTCACATTCAGTTTGTCGGTTATATTTCCAAGATCTTTTTTGCAACAGCTATTATGTAGTCGGAAATCAACATCTTATAGCTCTTCATTTGATTTCTGTCTCCTGTGAAGAATTTTGACTTTGTCTCTATTAAATTTCATATTGTTATTTAGATTTTTATGTAAATCTTCTATCTTATGCTGTACCCTTTCAAAACAGAAGCATTCCTATGTATTTATCCAAGTCTGCTAAAAAAGGAACATTTCCAGGATTGAATTTTGTGATTTCCTACTTGATACTATTCTTAGTTTTGATGATGAGCATTGGTGAATACTTTTTGAGAGTGAACATTGGGGATTAGGGGGCTGGAAGCTGAAACATACAATGAATGTTTGCAGGAAGTAGTTAAGTTTAGTTTAATGAAGAGAAGGACTAGGGATAACATGATAGCAGTCTTCCAAAATTTGAGGGGCTGTCACAGAGACGAATGTATCAATTTATTCGGAAAGAGTGCAGAGAAGAGCAACAAAGATGATTAGAAGACTGGAGGCTAAAACATATGAAGAACGGTTGCAGAAACTGGGTATGTCTAGTTTAATGAAAGGAAGGACTAGGGGAGACATGATAGCAGTCTTCCAATATCTCAGGGGCTGCCACAAAGAAGAGGGAGTCAAGCTATTCTCCAAAGCACCTGAGGGTAGGACAAGAAGCAATGGGTGGAAACTAATCAAGAAGAGAAGCAACTTAGAACTAAGGAGAAATTTCCTGACAGTTAGAACAATTAATCAGTGGAACAACTTGCCTCCAGAAGTTGTGGATGCTTCATAACTGGAGGTTTTTAAGCAGAGATTGAACAGCCAGTTGTCCAGAACGATATAGGGTCTCCTGCTTGAGCAGGGGGTTGGACTAGAAGACCCCTGAGATCCCTTCCAACTCTGTAATTCTGTTATTCTTTTTGAGACAGGTGTATATCTATTTCAACTGCCTTAGGAAGTAGTGAGAATTGTCACATAGTCTGTTTGAAATGAATCTATGTTTTTATTAATGCAAAAGACAAAAAAAAATACTAAAATATGCCAGTTTTAGAGCATGATATACTTCTTTTTTGGAATTATAGAATTTCAAAGGAGAAAAAGAATATTTAAGTCACTGATCCTATAATCCTTCCTTTAAAGCAGGGGTGTTGAACTCAAGGCCCAGGGGCCAGATCTGGCCCCTGGGGTACTTAGATGTGGCCCGCGGAGCCACCCTGGAAACAGAGAGGGACTGGCCTGCAGTACCTCTGCCAGTGAAAAACGGAGCTTGGGCAGGCCACACGCAACCTTCCTGAGCTTTATTTTTGCTGGCAGAGGGTTGCAGGAGGCTGTCGCAGCCAAAAACGGAGCTTGTGAGGGCTGTGGGTGGCCCTTCCAAGCTCCGTTTTCACTGGCAGAGGGTTTCAGGAGGCTGTCACAGGTGAAAACGGAGCTCCGGAACCCGTTTTCTCTGGCAGAGCGCTCAGGCACCCGCGACACGAGTGACATCGAGTTGGCCATGACCATCTTGGCCATGGCAAACCCGGCCCCCTGAGATCAAACACAACCCTGATGCAGCTCTCAATGAAATCAAGTTTGACACCCCTGCTTTAAAGGATTTCAAAGAGAGGTTAATCTCTATAATATTAATTTCAGCGACAAAGTGCTCCATTTGGACGTTTTCTAGCAATCAGGTAGAATCTGCCTTCCTGTGACTTAAAGCCATTAGTCTCGTGATTTTTCACAAGAGAAAACAAGTCTTGGCCATCTTCTTGTGACATCCTTTCAGAATTTTTTTAAAGAGTGCTGTCCTTTAATCATTTTTCTGTCAATGTACACAGCTCCTTCAATCTTCCTTCATGTAACAAGCATTTCATTATCTTCATCATCTTTCTTGGAACCCGTTCCAGTTTGGCTGAATTGTTTTTCAAAGGTGTCTCCAGAATGGACTCAGTACTTGAGGTAGGATGAGAATGAAGGAGAATAAGATAGAAAAATAATTTCCCATGATGTGGAAATCACATTAAGATAATTATACCTTTTTAAAACCTTTTCTGAGCCACTATTGTTTGCTCATATTCAGTTTGCAGTCTATTCCAAAAGCTCTTTGAATATGTGGAGAGAAGAGCAACAAGGATTATTAGGGGACTGAAGGATAAAACATATGAAGAATGGTTGCAGGAATTGGGTATGTCTAGTCTAATGAAAAGAAGGACCAGGAGTGACATAATAGCACTGTTCCAATATTTGAGGGGCTCCTACAAAGGCGAAGGGGTCAAACTATTTACAAAGCACCAGAAAGCAAGACAAGAAACAATAGCTGGAAACTAACCAAGGAGAGAAGCAATCTAGAACAAAGGAGAAATTTTCTAATGGTGAGAGCAATCAACCAATGGAATAGCTTGGAGCGCGTGTGCTGAAAACCAGAGAACTAATCTGCTGAAGATGACCAGGCTAAGGACTAGCCAGATGAATACCTGGCAGGCAGAATTTTTCCCCCCTATTTTCCTTCCCATAAACTAAGGTGCATCTTATACTCTGGTGCATCTTATACCCCGAAAAATACAGTATATTTTATGTATATTAAGAGCAGGGGTTAGAGTGCAGTACTGCAGGCTACTTCTGCTAACTGCCGGCTGCCTGCAATTTGACAGTTCAAATCTCATCAGGCTCAAGGTTGACTCAGCCTTCCATCCTTCTGAGGTGGGTACCCAAAATTGTTGGGGGCAATATGCTGACTCTGTAAACGGCTTAGAGAGGGCTGTAAAGCACTGTAAAGTGGTATATAAGTCTAAATTCTCTTGCTATTGCTATTATGCATATCATGCAGTAGGGGGATTCAGCCGGTTCTCTCCGGATCACACGAACTGGTAGCGGCGACTGCAGGAGATTCTGCCCACCCGTCCGGACATAATGTATGACAACTGCGCATCTGCAGAAGGCCATGAGCATGCACGGAGGTGGCGCATGCAAGCGCGCTCACATTTGCAAACCGATAGATAGATACCTCTGATGTCATGTATCATGCTGTTATTGGGTTTGACATTCAAGTCTCTATTTGGAGGCTGGGAATAGGTGAGTAATTTCTGGTGGCTGAAGGCTACATCCATTAAGGACTATTGATTCACATGGGCTGCAATTCTCTCACGTTTGGAAAATTAAAGCTGATTGTTTTAAAGTTTCTAATACATTTTATATATATTTTTTACAAGCTATGCTACAAATTCCTAGAAATCACAGCTGCAAATGGCTCCAGGGTCTCAAATACAAGCCAGCTGTTATCCACCATTATTTCAGATACATATTTTCTACATACACCAGCCTCAAAAATAAGGGATGTAAATGAAGAAGGAAAAATTGGGGTCGGAAATGCAGCTGGCATAAACTCTTATTCCTTGATGAAAATAAATATTTTCTTAAGAGGAACAACCGTGGGGTTTCATTGCATGCAAATATATTTGGATTTTATTTCAATCCTTGGAATAGTAACTCTGTCTGAGCCTGCATTGATTCCTGTCACTCACTCTTATTCAGAAAGTAGGGAGAATGATTTCCCAGCTTTAAAATCTAGAAAGAATTGTGGGCAACAATCGTATGGGTAAAATACAAATAAGGTACTATGTGGAGCATCAACAAACACCATTAATACAGTAGAGCTCTTTGATTCATAGAAATAAGCTCAACTAAGATTTATGGAACAGGGCATCAGTTGTTGCTCAAAGGGAGGTCCCGCATCACACACAATATTTAAGCTTAGCTTAGCATTTCATAGAAAGATTGATTTGGTTAAATGTTACATTCATTCATAAAATTTTCAGTGGCTTGGGATCTGAATCTAATTCAGCTGACATCAATCCAACTAGATGCCATATGCTAATTACAGTAGTGGCCAAAATTGTGGAAACCTTGTGGGAAAAGTGTATTTTCTAAAACTAGCTAATGACACCACTTTTTTGGGGACCATAAAATTATATATCAATGGAAAGATAATTTAATCAAGAATGTATTGCAATAACTTTTAGGAAGGATTTGCTATTAGAATAGCAGTTACAGTATAAAGAAGAAAAGTGAAACACGTAGAAAAAATGAGATATACAAAAATTATCACCATAGAAAAAACGAGATATACAAAAATTAACACCATGTCAGTTCATACTTAGTTGGGTAACCTTTAGGATGAATTATGGCCTTACAACCTCTTCCCATGGAGTGAACCAAGTCTTTTAGTTCTGCAGCTGTTATAATGTGAAACCAAGATTGAATGACTGCTTCTATTAACTGGGTTTCATTGCTGGGTCGCTTCTGACTAACAAGTTTCTTTACTCCATAGATTTTCAATTGGGTTAAGGTCTGGGCTATTCCCAGGCCATTCCAGTAGTGGAATAGGATTATCTTGAAACTCCCAAAAAAAGTGGTGTTATTAGCCATCAAACCTCATAAATATACTTTTTCCAAAATGTTTCCACAATTTTGGCCACTACTGTAAGTAAAATCCAACTAAAGGCTTCTTTGGTATTAATGATGCTTTCATAATATTTTTAATGTTACCTAAACAACTTTCCTCTTACCTATAGTATGTCCAGATGCAGTTACCCCTGTTCCGCTCCCATCCGGTGTTGGGTGGAAAGGCTGTTGTACTTTGGTTCTGATGATCCTGTCACCATAACACAACAACAACACAGCACATTAGTCTGAGATATAGGCACTGCAAATAAAATATTTGATTTTATGAGTGGGTTGATTCATGCACAGTGGCTTGTATATATTGATAAAATAATAACAATAATAACACAACTATTATAAGACCAAGAAATTGCAGAGTATCCAAAGACCCTCTGATCATCTGAAACATTTTATAATTATTTTGTAATTATAAGTAAATCATTTTTATAAATAAATATTTTAATTCTTAACAACCGATTAGCAGCAGGCATCCGTATTCCTTGCTGCTTCACCTAGGAGAGAACCATGGAGCTGTGCAATCCCTCTGCACAAATTATTTCCAAAACAAATTATAAAGCAAATTGCAAAAAAGGGGCCAACCTGACATCAGCTAAAGAAGATTCATAGATACCCAGATACCCATTACATAATTTTTGGAGTATGCACAGCGGTGAAATCCCGCTGGTTCTATTCAGCTTGCCAAACCAGTAGCGCCGGTGGCGGGAGGCTCCGCCCACCTGCTGGGACGTCATTACGTCCCATTTTTTAACCATCTGCGCATGCACAGAAGGATTCTGGGCTTGTGCAGAAGAGGTGCGTGTGCGCATAGCGCATGCACGCTCCCACAGGAGCACACCCAACCAGTAGTGAAGGTAAGTGGATTGCACCACTGAGTATGCAATATTATATAAAATGAAAACAATAAGAACTAATTAGCAAAAGAAGTTGAATGTGAGAGATAAGAGAAAATGATATGTGTCTAAATTTTATTTACACTGACATTATTCACTGTAACCCTCCAGAGCTTAGCATTCTTCTTACCCAGCCTTGTTTCCATATGTCTATACATTGATTCATACATTTCTTTTTGATCTTTTAGCTTTCAGCATCTCTTATTTTTTTAAATTTATTATATTTATACACCATCAATTTTTGTGACTTAAGAATTCTACAAAGATATAGCATATGACGAAATTTTGAGTAGTTCAGAGAACTGGTAAATACCACCTCTGACTGGCCCTGCCCCCATCTATTCTCTGCATCCCGAGTCCCAGCTGATCAAGAGGAAATGGAGATTTTACAGTATCCTTCCCCTGCCCCACCCACTAAGCCACACCCACCAAGCCATGCCACGCCCACCAAGCCACACCCACAGAACCGGTAGTAAAAAAATTTGAATCCCACCACTGAATTTAACCTATGTTCCTTCAGTTCCTTCTTCATTCTTATATCTTTTTACTTGAACCACACACTCTTATTAAGATATATAGATATACATTCAGCTCCTTTCCGTAAGAAACCATGGAGGATGGATATGAGATTTGGAGAAGGGCAAATATTTCAAAAACAGGAAAGAGACCCAAGAGATGGCAGATTCATCAGGTTGAAAGTGATTCTAGACAAAAGGGCGAAACAGTTTTTAAGCAGTTGGTTTGTATGTACTTAGTAAAGGATGCATAATTTGGCAGGGGGCCTGAATGAGTTTATCAAGAACAGTTCATGCCAAACCAACCTCATCTTTTTTTGATAGAATAATCAACTTATGTGATCTGAGTGGACACTGGATACTTTAGCTTCAACAAAGCATTTGACAAAATCTTTGTCAAGGCTGAGGTGAGTTATAGATTGTGTAAAACAAGTATATAAATAAGAGTCTACATGAGAAGATGGTAAAATGTAGGCTGAATATAGATCTGGATGAACAAGTACTCCAGGAATGTACAGTACATTAATGCTCAGCATCAGATTAGAAGGTATCAAGTGGTTTACCGCTGGGCTGTACTGTTCAACATATTTATAAATATGGAGGGTTGTGGCCTCACCTCTACTAGAAATAAGAGTTGGGTGGCCATTTGTCATACACCTGGCAATAGAGTTTCTTGCACCGAGTAAGAGATTGTACTAAGTGATCTCAGAAAAATCTTTCAATCCTTACATTGTATGATAAATGAGGAAAAGTATATGAAAATATTAATACATTTTATGAAGATTTTAGAAACTACATAGGAGTCATTCATGAGAAAAAAATCGATTTAAGATTAAAAACATGAGACGCTACCAACTGAATGCTAGATGAATGCATCTGCATTATTGCTGATCAATTCCAAAAACTAGAAAATGGTTAAGAATTTGCTGCTCAAATCTTAACCCTAATAATAATAACAGTAACAGAGTTGGAAGGGACCTTGGAGGTCATATAGTCCAACCCCCTGCTCACTCAGACAACCTATAATAGGGATTCAAACTGCTGAACTGCCGACCTTTCTGATTGACAAGCTCAGCATCTTATCCACTGAGCCACCTAGCCAGTTGCCCGACTGACTGCTGGCTTTGTTCAATCTGACAAGAGCAGCATCTGGCCACTTGACCTAACTTGAAAACGTATTTGCGAGGTACGATAAAGCTTTCTGTTCATTTTATATGATCTGAAAAACTCTTTTTCCCTTTGAAAATGCAACCGAAAATATTATTTGGAGGACTTTTTAGAAATGTGAACTTCATGTACTGTCTTTATGCTCATGCTCTCACTTTTCATTGGTCTTAAGCAAACTGGTTTAAGAATTTAATTATAGGAGCCAGTATGATATAATGGTTAAAGTAGTATATTAAGGCCAAGGAGATCCAGATTTTAGTCTTCCCTTAGGCACGGAAGCCAACTGAAATGATTAAAGCTAGTCCGTCAGCCTCCCTGGTGGTAAACTAAAGATTCTCTATTTATTAACCCACATGGGTCCTCCATAATAGATACCTTCAACAAAGGGCCTTCATCCTGCAGTGGAATGTATAATGTGATTACATAATATGTCAATATATCTAGGAATGGTTTTGTTTGACACATGAGCTACATGTTTCTCTTGGTTTCCTTCTTCCTTCCTTCCTTCCTTCCTTCCTTCCTTCCTTCCTTCCTTCCTTCCTTCCTTCCTTCCTTCCTCCCTCCCCCCTTCTGCATTCAGTAATTTAAGAAGTTAAAGAAACAACCAGCTACCTCATACAGCTTCAAAAGTAGCATGAGCCTGAATATGAGACACAAGCAGGAGGTGGCTGCTTAAAAGGTAAACACTATTTTGGGATGAATAACAAGGGCATGGGATTCTGATGAAGAGAAGAAAAGGTTGCATTCTATTTGGCTTTAGTCCGCTTGAAGACTGTGTCCAGTTCTGATCAGCTCTCTACAAAGAGTAGCAACAACTTGGTACAAGTTAAGAGGAGGGCTACCAAAATAGTGAGGGATTGCTGAAGTTCACTACACTTAGCCTCATAAAAAAGAAGAGCAAGGTGTCACAGTTTGTTGCAGCACACACAATCAGACAATTCAGGAGGATTCAAAACATCTGTATATACTTAACAACACATAAGGCATACAATACCCTTGTAGCAGTGATGAAATTCAAATTTTTTTACTACCGGTTCTGTGGGTGTGGCGTGGTGGGCGTGGTGTGGCTTGGTGGGCATGGCAGGGGAAGAATACTGCAAAATCTCCATTCCCACCCCATTCCAGGGGAAGGTTACCGTAAAATCTCCATTCCCACCATATTCCATGGGAAGGATATTGCAAAATCCCCATTCCCACCCCACTTTGGGACCAGCCAGAGGTGGTATTTACCGGTTCTCCGAACTACTCAAAATTTCAGAACCTGCTGGATTTCACCCCTGCCTTGTAGGTTTTTCCATGTTGTAGAGAAGAGAAATAGCAAGTACAAACACAGCACAAAATGGAAGTACAAAATGGAGAAGGAAAAATGGAGGAGAGAGAAGCCAGTGCTCTCAAGTTTATATGCTAGAACAGTTAAGCCACGCCCAGGCTCCAAACTGTCTCTTATGGCCCCATACAACAAATACTATGTTTCAGTTACCAAACAGCCCTCATTGGCTGACCTGTTGCTATACCCTATTCCAGTTCATGAATGTATTCTGACAAGAAGAGCAAGAGGATATGAGAAAGCAGTTTTTAAAAGTTATCTAAAGGGATGTCAAGTGAAAGAGGAGGTGGTACTATTCTCTCTTGCTCCAGTTGACAGGCCCAAAAATTCCAGGAAAGTACATTCAGGTTACATTATTAGGATGAATTTTCTGAAAGTAAAAGTGCCAGTTTATTTATTTATAACTTTAATTGATTTCTACAGCCATCCATCTCAATATTAAGTGAGTCAATAAGTGACTCTAATAAAATAAAATAGGTACCTCATGAAGTAGTATATTCACTTTAACTGTGCAGACCTTCAACCATAGCCCTCTGACTAAAATATTTTGCAGATCTTACATGGAGCAGATGGGTGTGGACCTCTGAGATATCTTCCAATTCTTTGACTCTACAATATGTAGAACCTCTGTTTGCCCCCTGAGCTCAATCAGATCAGAAATCTGTTCCTAAAAAGAGACAGTTATTTGGAAGCTGCTGATCTACAATCTACCACATCATTGCAGAATTTGTGTATGAATGTGTGCCCTGATGAAAAAAAAAGATGGAGGCTCCAGCTGCAATGTCTCCATGCTTATTGCCCCATGCTTGAAAAATATCATTTCAATGATAATTGAATGTGTGGATATAGCCTCTCTGTTCATGCTTAGTAACAGTTTCTCCATTAAATCCTCTCACACTGTTTGATTTTTTCAAATGGATACTCACGCTCTGGTAGATTTTAATTGTAATTGTCTTTTTCTTTTTAATGGATAGAAATTATTGTTTTTAAATCTCTTATTGTTTAGGGTTTTGTAAGTCACTGAGTCTTGGTTGATTAAAATGACATAGGAGCCTCTAGTAAATAAATACCATAAATATATTTTAAAACTCATATTTGGCACTCTCATCTAAGTGTCAACTACTTTTTCTTCTCAATCTGCAAAGATGGTCATTGCCAAAAAAAGAAAATCATAATCATTGACATCATTACTATTACAATTTATATCCCTATGTTCAGTGGTGGGATTCAGTCAGTTCGGGCTGGTTCAGGCAAACCAGTTGTTAAATTGCTGGCTGGCCCCGCCCCTTCC